GTTAACATATGTTATGTCTACAATTTAAGTTAATGTTACCAAACAATCAATTTAGCTATTAGGTTTAAAAACAATTTTGCAAACCGTCCACCAAGGGGCATTTAGTTTGTTATCAAACGAATTACAAATCAATATGTGATTAATAAATGAGTTTGTTGTGCAAAGTTGGCTGTTCTTTGGTCAGCAATAGTTCATCGATTAGTTATTTATTAGATTAAGTTAAAGAACTGGTTTAATATAATCACGTTGCCAATATTTTAAGTAGCTACTTACGTACTGTAACTGTGTATAAGTATAACCATATTTATCGAATCAAAATAACTAAATGTCTAAATCTATAGGACAAAAACTACACAACAATAATCAATGACAAAGCCTTAAGTAAAAATTTCAGATTCAGTTCAATTAGACCTTTTCTGATTCTTTGTAATCGCAAGGAGTGGAAGTAAGAAAAATATTCTGGTTATGACTGCCTCGTTGGCCTAGTGGTCGCAAGTGCGACTGCCGGGCACGGGATCTCAAGTTCGATTCCCGGGTCGGCCAAAGTACTGGGCTTTTAAAAAAATCTCAGTAGTAGCACATGGTCTGGAATTGTGCCCGATATATGGCAATACGCTCACCCCCTTTTACAGGGGACTCATATTCAAAATAGTGGAAAGTGGGAGTATTGTTAGATTATACAGCGGGATTAAGTGCCATAAGGTGCACCTCTGCCTACCTCTTCGGGGATAAAATGCGTGATGTTATAATGTTATCTATTCTGATTATAAAATAGCATATTAAGTTAGTATAGTAAGTAAGTATTTTTAATAGTCCTTAGGGTAGGCCATGGCGCATTAGGCGTAACATGACATTATGACCTAAACTGACAGATATTTCAATGTCAACAATAATGTCCATTATCTATATCTGTAGTGGCCGTGAAATTACTATAATTATACCACAAACTGCCCCCTGTCGGTGTTTAGAACTAAAACTACTATTATACTGCTGGGTATATTTTTAGGGATATTTATTAGTTAAATATTCAAAAGTATCAAGTGTCAGGTGTTTTAAAAGCTTACGTCATTTTTTGATGTTATTAGTTAGCCGTATTTTGGGGGTCGTTAAGATGTGAATTGTTAATTATTGTAGTCTCAAACATTTGTATTAGGTATACTGTAACAAAACTATAAAACAATATTACAATATTCAATTGAGCTAACAGAAGTTTTCGTGAAAATAACTTTAACATATAACTTTGAATGGTTACCATAACGTAACAAAAAGGAAATCAGATTTATTACATTATTTATATTTTCCGAACTTTGACCCACGTTCTATAGTGATAGTATGTAAATGGGTACCTAATTCATATCATGACTTGCCAATAAAGCTATAAACTTTACATTTAAATTGCAAAACATGCAATAATGAAATGAATTAGTATAAATAAATTATTATCTATAGTTCTGATTGAATGCTTTATTACTTACAAATACTTCAGTTCCTGGTTTCATTTGAAAGTATGTTTATTTCATTCTTCTCATATCACAATTCCATGACATAATAAAGACATTTCATAGAAATTGGGATCCATCTCAATCCCAAAAAATATTTCCTGTTGTCATTTGTCAAATTGAGGGCTGGGACAAGCCCGCCACAACCTCCCAAAACCGCTGAAACTCCTGTAAGCCAGGATCTACAGTAGATAGAACCATGAAGACACCGGAATACTGAAGTCCGGCGCGTCCCATGGACATGAATAACTGTCTTGGTTCCAAATAATCAAATTGAAGGCTATCATCAGACCGCTCTCGCTCGCTCAGAACACTTAGTGCCAGCAGAACAGATCATCACACACGAGGCCACTAGGATTGATGCTGTATTGGGTCTGTGGAGAACCGTTAGGGTTACTGGACTCCGGCTCGAAGGAAGAGTTCACGAGATCGTTTTTAGTTCTGGATGAGGTGAGACGGAATTGGAGGCCTGACTCTTAGTCGGGCATGCCCTCTCATTGTTATTGTCGAGTCATTCTCATTGGCAAGGACTCAATAGAGGATTTTCCCCTCATCATCAACAGCCGGAAGACGTCCACTGCTGGACAAAGGCCTCCCCCTTAGCCCTCCACGTCGAACGACAACTCGCCACCCGCATCCACTGGCTCCCCGCAACTCAAATTTTTCAAATTTTCCCCTCTCAAAATAAAAAATAAAGGGTTTCCTAATGTAACCAGTCGTAATTTTAAAATACAAAAAGCAACAATAACAAGTAACAAACTTTGTCCAACCCGAAGGTTTAACCCCCTTCGTGTCCATGACATCCACCATTAGGATTAGTGAAAGTAATTGAATAATGCAATCTGATTGGTTTCCATTGACGGCCATGTCACCAGGGCCGCGATACACAATATATGAGGGTCGCCGGTGACATTGAGCCTCTGCCATTAAGCGCACGAAACATACTCATGAGCTTGGACAGACAGGCGTAATTTCAATTCTTCCATTGTCATATAAATTCGCTGGTGTTTTCTATTTGATCTGTCTTTTTGTGTTCGTGAAATTTTGTGTTACAATAGTTTTATGATTCTGTATTATATTTTTGTTAAACGCTTGCTTCATCGTTTACTGACTTTCAAAAGCTTCTTTGTAATCTAATTATGCTTTTTGTACACTATACAAACTTTCACACTACATAAACAGACATAAGTAACTCCCAAAATTGAACAGGACTGCAGATAGGATATTAAATTCGGAGAATGACTAACACCGACGAAAAAATAGTCTATATAAAATTTATCGTCAATATGGATAGTATCCACGTTGAGTCACATCTTATAGGCATCCTCCAAGCGCCCGTTCATCATGATCTAAAAATATTTTCAGTACGACCTTAACATTATTTGTTTGTTAACAGTTTACCGTCAAAATGTTTACGTAAAATTACGATGTTGTTCGACATAGAGTAATTTAGCCGAGTCACAAATCTATCACCATTATGTAGGTGACTCCAGTAATTGCTGAGCCCTTGACCTTGTCTGTCGTGTCGGGGTATCATTTTATTTTAACTAATTAAAACGTCATAATATTTTATTTAAAGATAATTCGACACGCGACCGTTTTGCTTTTAGATACAATCTGGCATGACGTGTGGTAAAGGATAATTGTTGATTTGAATTTTTTATTTGTTTTCATATTCTGTGATAAAATGATATTTACTATGGTAATAACTCTATTGCGGAAGTCATATTTCTGATCACGGTAGGAAATCATCATGTGTTAATCAATTAATGCTTTTGATTCGTGTTTTAGAATCCATAAATAGTCCGTTTAAATAACTTTCGTAAACTTCAATAAAAAAAAAAATTAACAGAACATGTAAAGGTGTTCTATTTCCTAGGCAAAAAATTGAAAAGTTGTCTTCGTATAGCAAACACATTATTTATTTAGAGGATTACCGACATAAATACAGCAATATTGCACAATAAAAATATTTTTGACTTAAAAAATACCTTAAGTATTCACAATAATTACAGCATGCATATAGCTTTTTAACTTATGTACATTAATACAAAAAAAAATTCGGAATATTTGACTATAAAATAAAAATTAAAAACATTAATTATCGTCTGCATTCAAACTGTCTATCATTCAGTTGAAGAAGCTATACCATGTAAGTAGTGCTAAATTATCCCCTATCAAAAGACAAAATTAAGTCATTATAACATATTCCCTAATAACACGTAATACAAGTCGATCCACTTATGTTGTCGCGTCATACAATAATACCAGGTACTGATTAGATATGCATCCATTAAATAGCATTATAGGAAAGTCCAGATTACAGTGCTTGGGCGTGTGAATGTTTTCCACCAGTGTACAACACTGGGTAAGTCATAAGGTTCTAGAGATTTCGCATAGGCGATAAGCAATTGATTCGCTAATGTTGTACTCATTAATGTGGACGGGTGTATTTCCACAGAGACACCCGTAAACTTGTAGTTTTTCTAAACTTTGTACTTATTACTAAAAATTATTTTAAACTAAAATTTATTGGAGTTACGGTTTCTGCGGACGGCGACTTATGCTGTGAGAAAAAAATAAAGTTAACAAGTCCTAGAGTCTGGATAACCTTCGATCTGCATTCTTCAATGACGAACGTCTAAATACTTTAACAATTCTAAGATTATCTCCTACTTCACAATCATTAAAACGAGCGTTTTCTCAACCCGCTACCGCTTATTCTCTGTATCATACCTAATATTAAATTCTTAACAGTGATAGTCTCCGATCGAATGCGACAGCCCTGTCATTAGCTAAAACTGTCTTCAATGTAGATAGGTACCTGAAATTATCAGTTATTAGTTTCAGTAGGACAGACAGTTTTCAAGTAGAAGCTGATGAATTATTGAACACTTTGTCCTACAATTTGTGTTTCTTTACGAAAATTGTTTTAACTGACTTCAAAGAATAGGTATACCCTGGTGGGGTTTGTTGTTTGATGGTATATTTACATTATTAATTTGCAATAGTATGTTGTTTAGTTGTCCTTCGGTTTGGTTGTAGTGAATTGTAAATAATAAATTGTTTTCTTTGAAATTATTTGCTATTCCTATTGAGGGTTTGTGTGTGCAATATTGTATTAAAATATACTTATTACAAGTTATGATGTGGTGTATTAAAAAATGTAGCAGCTGACTACAAGATGTCAGGGCATCGAAACCTAGACAAAGAGCTTTTCAGTGATCAAAATTTTGCATGATGGGTGTGGTACTAGGTGTGGAACGGGGTGGTTTTTAGTCAGTAAGAGTCTGACACTCCCTTCCGCCTCACCCGGGCGGGAGAAGTAATTGGATGATTTTCCCCCCTCAAAAAAAAAGGTGTGTAACGGTTTCCGTAGACTCGCTGGCTATTAAAGTACCAAATAATGATTAGAAGTTACTTTGGGCTAAATATATAAATGTTTTTCTTTTGTTACAGGTATTTGGTGTGTCATTGTTAACATGTCTGCGCTCAACAAATATGTTGGTCAGAATGGATCGTTGCTCCGCGCTGTCGCCGTCCACGCCTAGCAGCCGAGGCATGGACAAGTACGAGCAGTTGGCAGTGGTCAGTTCATATTTGATGCACCTACAACATCATCATCATTTTTATTATTTACTTCTTTCATTCCCTCTCCTGCTAGACTTACTCGCAGTGCAGGAATTAAAACGGGATGCGTAATAGTCAGTTAGAGTCTAACACTCCTGTCTCACTTGTGTGGAAAAGTCTTATACTGATTATCCACCCAACCAAAAAAGGTCTTTTCAATAGCACGCTACTAAACTTGGTCTTCAGCTCTTTACATACAACTCCCAAGATATGAGAATAACACTACTTCTTGACAAAAAAACGTGACTACGCGAATTTAGTTAAAATTAGCGATAATTACCCCGATAATTACCCTTCCCTGCCCCAATCTCCCCAATCCCTGAATCCCCAACGATCCTCAAACTCCTAATTCCCAGAAGGCTGATAACGCACTTTTAACGCCTCTGGTGTTCCAGGTGTCCATGGGCGACGCCGATTGCTTACCATCAGGTGATGCGTCTGCTCGTTTACCGGCTTATGCCATAAAAGAATTAAAATGATTCACTTAATTCATACTGTAATATAAAAAGTATACATTAAAAACTGCAATTTGTATTTACATTACTTAACAAAGTTTCTGTAATTTTATATTTAAGTACGAAGTAACTATTTCGGTAAAGCAGTGAGTCTCAGTAAGGTCAGTATCAGTCGGTGTCAGGCCCAACTTATAAGAATGCTGCGCTATTCTGTAATCGCCCGAAATACTTGCAATCATATTAATTTCGTTGACATTTCTATTTTTGTAATCATACCATTATTTTATCGAAGTAATGGCGCTGGTTATTTTTATAAGAAAGCGATCATTTGTCTTGTTACGACATCGGTTGCGTGAATTTGTTATCTAAAGTTAGACTTAAATAGATAGAGACTTATAGGCACCGGCTCAGGCTTATTTTCGTTAGACGTTTCCCAGTTTTTAGACAGTCGTTATATATCAGAAACGTTGAAGAAAGAAACAGAAAATGACATCAATATAGAAACATAATGTACTGAACTTCCTGATATATTTCGAAAATATTCAGTAGAAACTTTATCTTGGTAAGATAATAACTATGAAATTCTGTCTGCTGTTTTGGCACGAAAATAAGAGAGAACTGTTGTCAGGTTGGCGAAGGCTCGTACGGCGTGGTGCTTAAATGCCGACGCCGGGACACGGGCCAGCTCGTCGCCATCAAGAAATTTTTGGAGACTGAAGAGGATGCCGCGGTCCGAAAAATGGCGCTCAGGGAGATTCGGATGCTCAAAGTAATTCACATTATTAATACCACATTAAAAAACGGAAGATAGTTTGAGTTGCTAAAGACTATTTCTCTTGTAAGTATTTTATATTATTCTAAGGGCCAATCATCAGTTGATTCTTAACTGTAGAATAAAATTGACATTACAATATTCAAACAAATATTTAAACTTATTCCTTAGTAAAATTTATCTGGCGTTGGCAAAATCGACTCTAAGAAGAAACAAACATTTTCGGGAATACTTACTGATTGAGAATATACTTTTTCTACTTATAAAATTACATCATCGATTCCAGAAACTCCGTCACGACCACTTGGTGAACATGATAGAAGTGTTCCGCCGCAAGAGACGCTTCTACCTGGTGTTCGAGTACCTCGACCATACACTGCTGGACGAGTTGGAAGCGGCTCCAGGTGGACTGGGCGAGGACACTGCCAAGAAACACCTGTACCAACTCCTGAAGGGCATTGACTACTGTCACCAGAATTCTGTAAGTGTTTATTATGTATGTCATTGTGAAGTAGAAGATCAGTTAATTTTTGAAAATCGTTTCCGATTTTTGTCGGAAGGCCATTGCATCAACTGAATTCAGAATACGTACAATGTTCAATTTTATACCCATTACCCAAAAGACATTGAAGTTTTAAGGAGGTCTTGAGGTGAAGAAAAGGTAATCAGGTCTTGCAATTTTCCACTTCTCCAGATAATCCATCGTGACGTGAAACCAGAAAACGTCCTAGTATCAAACGCGGGTATAGTGAAGCTGTGTGACCTTGGGTTCGCGCGCGCCCTGGCAGCGCCCGGCGAGCCCTACACGGAGTACGTCGCTACGAGATGGTACCGTGCTCCTGAACTACTCGTTGCAGAGCACAGGTTAGTACAGTTGTTCTTCTATTCTTCATCATGCTTAGAACGTGTGGAGTTCTAAATTAGTCTTGCTTGGACAATGTCAGATTTGTATACAGTTTACAAATTTAAAGGAGAGTGTAACGTCGAATGAATGGACTTTTAAAACAGCCCAACACAAGATTCAAGAATAGGTATTGTTGTTTTGTTTTAGGTATGGTCCCGAGGTAGACATTTGGGCAATCGGTTGCCTGTTCGCGGAGATGTTGACCGGTGACCCGCTGTTCCCTGGAGACTCCGACATCGACCAGCTCGCGCTTATTATTAAAACTGTCGGTGAGTTTATGGAAATTGACATTTTTATTATATGAACTCATATTTCTTTGTTTCATAAGGGTGGATGGTAACCACAAAGTATCATGAAATACGATCTACACCCTCTTCACATGGGACTCGTAACATGGGTGTTATATAGTTCATGTGGACTCTGTTCCATTGAATCCCCAAATAGGCGTGAACCTTACATAAAGAATTCTTTTTTTATAAGTTTGCCAACCTTCCACAGGTAAACTAGCTCCCCGACACCAGCAAGTAGTATCCCGGCTGGCAGGCGGCGCCGCGCTGTCGACGTCAGGCGCGGCAGGTCGCGGCCTGCTGCCGGGCGCGGGCGCGGCGCGGGACTTACTGGCCGCGTGTCTGCGGACCGAGCCCAGGGCCAGGCCCGCCGCACAGGCACTGCTTAGACATAAGTATGTTGTATAATCTAACTTTACTTAGTTGTAGGTGGAAACCTAATAATTTTCGATTATACAATTTATAGCCCATTAAGATCTATCCTGATTTGACTTCTCCGATGTTGTGGGTCTCCATGGGTGGCGTTGATTGCTTTCCAGGTGATCCGCCTGCTCATTTGCCTCCCATTCCATAAAAAAATTGAAAATTAAGTTTCAGAAAGGTCCCGATCTCATACTACTACCTCAAAAGCAAACTTTAATTATGTAGATATTTTCAAATCAGTCTATTACATTTGGAGTCTATTCTATGCAAAGAAACAAGCAATCAGGAACATCATGATATAACCTCTGTTATAGGTAATAAATTGCCTATTATTTATTATTCTCTTCTTGTCTTTCCAGATACTTCATTGCAGACAATTTTGTAGAGAATTTCAACGCTGAACTGAGGAAGAAACTGGGAAAAGAGATTGATGTAAGTAGATTTAATAAATTGGTTCCTACACCGCTTGATCAAGCTGATAACTTAATGATAAGCTCATAAAAAATTACATAACTCACAAAATTCTAAACAGCTTAATATAATATGAATAGCTTAGAACTTATGGTACCGCATTCTAACTTATTACTGGGTGGGTAACAGATCAGTTATTTTTTGCATTTTAGATTTTACTTTATGTTTATCATTAGTTTTTGGTTTTTTGAAGTCGATTTTTAAACGCTGTTTTTTTATATAGGTATCTTATAATTGTCAACTGATAAGCCGTTAGTTATAATGAAATCTACATTACCAAATACAAACCTACATTTTGGAATGAGCACCTAGCTTCACCTAGCTTCACTGACGGACTGACTGACAGACTATTATTTATTATTTGTTGACGTTTCAAAAGTACCAAATTATGGTTTAATTGAAATAAATTCTTTGACTTTGACTTTGACTCCTTTGTCCAGGCTCCACCGTCGCAACAGAGCACGGCCCGTGTCGCAGGCAAGCCGCGACAACAATGGACGCTCAACATTATACCGGTAACTGTCCGGTATATACCTCCCTACACTATGTAACATATAACTAATACCTATAAGCTCATTACCATCGCCTAGTTCGTCTCGTAGACGTTCACCTCGTAGCAATAGACGTGTAGTTCCATTTACTAGGTACATGATATTTTTATAATATACTAGTTAACCCGGCAAACTTCGTACTGCCTTATATTTTTGTCTTTCCTTTTAAACCTTTTCTGGCTTTTCATGAACATTTCAAGACCAAAATTAGCCAAATCGGTTCAGCCGTTCTCGAGTTTTAACGGTAATTCATTTTTTTATATAGATCAATTTCCGTTCGTCAGTCTCGCTAAAACTCGAGAACTGGCTGGATTTGGCTAATTCTTCTTGGATGAAAGTTTTGAAATGTTGGTGGAAAACCAGGGAAGATTAAAAAAAAAATTAATGGATTTGATGGACCGACGTTTGGCCACTATCTCGCCTGCTGGTGGTGAATGTATACGCAAATATTTTTTCAGCAATAACGTTTTTTAATACGGCTTAATTCTTAGTTTAGTTTTTATCACTAAATATAACTATAACTACGAATAAAAAAGGTATAAGAAAAAACGAAATTCCGTCAGTTAGGCGTCAAAGATTTGTTTGTAGAAAGATTCGTCCGCATCACTGTGACTAGGGAACGTGTCCAGAAGACTGGCAGTATTGCTACGTAGCAATGCTTTTTTAAATATTACGTCTAATTTTGATTCAAGATGTACCTAGATTATGTAGAAGAAATTACAGTATCTATAAAGTATCTTGCTTTCTCGCTTTGTTTGCAGGACCAAAGCAGGTCGCGGACGGACAGTACGGCAGGCGAATCGCTCATTGACTACCATTACACTCCCAGTACGTATATTTTCCACCATACTTCCAGAACCTCTAGCCAAAAGTCGCTTTAGCGCTCATCTACTAAGAAAGTATAAAACTATGGACATACCACCGACAAGTGTAAATATTTACGTCAATCCCATAGATTTTAGATATCTACTCTATTTGTAGACAACCGCTAAATGGCTTTTCGCTCATAGCACAGATTACTGAACTTAAAGAATGAAAATTTGTTTACTACTTTTGTTGTATCTACATTCGTGCAGTATGCTGGTAAAGGGTTATTTGTTGATAAAAATAATGTTGTTTTTGAAATAATATGGAACTCTGCCCGGTATGTGGCAATAGGCTCACCCCCTATTACATGGGACTCATAACATAAATAGTGAAAAGTGGGTGTTACATTGTAAAGTGCCATTAAGTGCCGTAATGTGTACCTCTGCCTACTCCTTCGGGGATAAAAAGGCGTGATGATGTTATATGTGTTTACGTTTTAGATACAGAAGTCCAAATGGAGACAGGTCCGATTGATAAGAAACCGCTTCGCGGACTCTGCGAGCCTGCGCATGAAACTACACACTCAGACGTAAGTGACAATTTTACTATTTTATTGAACAAAGCTTCTAGCTATGCTTCGGCACGAATGGGCCGGCTCGACCGAAGTGATACCACGGCCTCACAGAAAACCGACGTGAAGCAACGCTTGCGTTGTGTTTCGTCGTGTGAGTGAGGTTACCGGAAGCCCAATTGTATAGCCCAATGTAGCCCAGTGTATGCCTGGCTTATACTGAGTGGGGTGACCCTTTTAGCATAGGCATGTTGTCAGCGACTCCTTTCTAATTCTTCTGTTTAAATTTTGTCAACTCTTATATTTTTATTACTTCCATTGTCACATCTTGATTGTCTTTTTTTATTTTTTATTTATGCTGCATCGTGCCTGGTGCTAAATAAATGTTTTTTCTTTCTTTCTTTCAATTACCCCCCTCCCTAGTCCCCGTCTCCCGAATCCCTGAATCCTCCACAATCCTCAAATTCCCAATTCCCAAAAGGCCGGTAACGCACTTCTAACGCCTTGGTGTTTCGGGTGTCCATGGGCGGCGCAGATGGCTTACCATCAGGTGATCCGTCTGCTCGTTTACCGGCTTATGCTATAAAAAAACAAATGATAGATTAGGGTACGCGAAAAACATCGCTACCATTATTTCCTAAAGTGGTACGCTAATGTATGGGATTCGTTGTTTCCAAATTGTTCCAGTAAAACCTTCGTTGAACATGGAAGTCATGAAGACAGATCATCTACGAGTTTTTATAACCACTATGACATCACTAAATAGTACAAAACAAAGTCGCTATCCGCCGTCTATTTATCCCTATGTATGCTTAGATCTTTAAAACTACACAACGGATTTTGAGGCGGTTTTTTTTGATAGATAGAGTTATTCTTAAGGAAGGTTTATATGTATCACTAGCTGACCCAGCAAACGTTGTTTTGTCATATAAATATTTTTTTGCAGGGTGAAAATTGAGGATTGTATGTATTTTTGTATGTTGTATCACAAAAAAATAGAAATTAAAAATTTGGTCTAAAAAATAAAAAAAAAATGTAGGGGTGGACCACCCTTAACATTTAGGGGGATGAAAAATAGATTTGGCCGATTCTCATAGATACCGAATAAGCACAAAAAATGTCATTAAAATCGGTCAAGCCGTTTAGGAGGAGTATGGCAACGAAGACTCTGACACGAGAATTTTATATATTAGATATATGCATATTGCACCCGTGCGAAGCCGGGGTGGGTCACTAGTATGCAATAAGACAGTAATTACTGTATGCTTGTAGCACGGTGGACAACCGGGAGTGACGGCGCTGCCCCCCGCGTCCCGGCCCGCGCCACCCCGCTCACTCGCCCGGGCCATCAACGACACGTTCCAAGTAAAACACCATCATTATTTTAATGTTTAAGACATACTTAATTAAATATTATGTTTTCGGCTTACTCATCATGAATATAAGCCTCTAGCATGGCTTGAAACTAGTCGAGTTCCTCGTCAAACAGTTACGTGAGTAAGCGGAAAACATTATAAGTAATTAATTTTAACCCAACTAAAATGTTACTGCTTAGTATATTAGTTACCTGCCAATAAAATTCCCGTCAAAATCGGTCTAGTCTAGCCATTTCAGACATTAGCCAGTACAAACAGTTTACATTTTAAAAAGTATTATTTTGGTATATTTGTCATATGTATCTATGTATAATCATAAACATGCAATAAAAAGCGGTTATTTCATTATTACAAATAGACACTTCATTTTTATGTATCTGTATATATTAGTAAGGGTGTTTTATCCATACGTCCACCCATCACTTTACTATGCGTTCATTGCTGTATCTTCGATAGACAATTTATTACTATTCTCGAATATTTCCACACTTTTTAATGAATGCAAGTAATGTGCTTTATACGAATGAATAATTGGTATTTGGAACTATATTGCAGACATTCCCTGTGCCAGTCAACACGTACCCGAGAACGCCATACATCAAGAAGTAAGTTGTATAAGAAATCTAACTGATCTCTTTTTGCTATGTCTCGTCATCCTGCGCTTTTTTATAATCACCAAAAGTACTAGGAAACCAATACTCAAAGGGACAAATAAAAATGAGCCATTTCAGTAGGAAGTATTTGATTCGAAGATGTTTCCTAAGTGTGGGAGAGCCATGGTTCACCACGAACGGGCACGCTCGACCGGAGTGATACCACGGCCTCACAGAAAACTGACGTGAAACAACGCTAGAGTTTTGTTTCGTCGTGTGAGTGAGGTTACTGGATGCCCAATTATCCCCCTCCCAAATCTTCCCAATCCCTAAATCCCCAACAATCCTCAAATTACTAATTCCCAAAAATCAAGTGATACATCAGCTCGTTTACCGACTTATCCCCATAAAAAAATGTAACCCTTTCGATGGTCACTAGTGGTCATCATCATCATCATCATCATCATCAGCCTGTATTCGTCCACTGCTGGACATAGGCCTCTCCTATGGCACGCCACTGAGCTCGGTCTTCAGCTCTACTAGTACAGCTCTACTAGTGGTCACTAGTTCCTTTATGACAAATATTCACATATTTCTCAATACTTCACAATAATAACCTTGTATTATCCACTAGAGTGAACAACAAGTTAGTAATGGACGAGGAGCTCCTCCGAGGTCGTGCGGCCGCGAAGAAGGGCAGCAAGAAGACCGCGCCCGAACTGTCCCTGCCTTACATGCCGGGGGGTAAGCAGTGTAACAGGACTGGAGGGAACAGAGGTACGTATGATTTACCATAGTAATATACCAACCGCAGATTTCTCCTAGTACTAGTATCCTGAAAGTATAAACTGCAATACAGTACAGTACATACTACAATGCATTTACGATCGGTTTGTCTAGATATAATATGATTCCTTTGAAATTAATAACCGAACTGAATCTAAAACTTCTGGAACCATTTTGGTTGGCTTTTGAAAGAGCTTTAGTCAAAAGAAGTCGAATGTCATCGGTAGTGTAATGTAAATGTAGTCGAATGGAGCTTCCATTCGACTAATATGCCCAAAATTGATCCTAATCCTTTGATTTTCGGTTAAGATCGTGAAAAGCTTTAACTTGTAAATCACTCTAGAGCAGTATTTTACTTTCTGAACTTTCCAGCATCGAACAGTCCAGTGAAGAAAGCAAAGAAGCCGCTCCCCGCGTACCAGACCATGTCCAAAGCATACGACAACTGGGACGGTGTTGTGAGTTGAATCTTTTTGTCATTTAGCTAACTTGTAATAGATTAGCTATTTAAGTAGATAATTTCGGGAAAAAGTGTTTCTAAATCTTATAATAACTTATATCAGACATATCCAATTAGGATGATGACGGGGTATGAAAATTCAAAATCTATTTAGTCCGTAAGTTAGGCAACGAAAATATGTTAGACACGTATTTTTTTTATTTTGTTGTACCATATACTTAAATATGTAGTACCTAGATAAAACGAATCAAAGTTTAGGAGCTAAAACGTCATTACTATTTATAAAATGAACTTACATAGAAGTGACGTAACACGACATTTCAAATCAATATATCGTGGAAACTATTTGTTTCTGTAAGAAAATAAAAAATATGTGTCTAGTGTTTTAAAGTAATCTACCAGACGGACATTAAAATAAAAATTAGGCATCTACTCTATTAGATAATTCACTTATTTATACACTTTTTCCGAGAATGCTCAACTAGTTTCGAGTAGACAGAGCCCAATACATTGAACGAACATTTACTATTATTATCATGTTTCTTTGCTACAATGGCTTGTTTTCTTGCTATACAGCGTAGCGGCATGGAGCTGACGTCGTCCAGATCACCGACAAACCTTCCCTATATGTGACTGTACCGCAGCTACTGGTGGCCGAGCCACCGGTAACTAATTATACATAAAGACTGCTATTATATCTGTGCGAAATAACGTTACCAACATTTAAATCAATTGTGTACAGGATTTAGAATTATCTAACTATAGTTTTCTCTCATTTCCTAATTCATTTATTCGATTGTTAATCGACTAGGAATTTCTGGTTGTCGATTTTTTAAAATTTTATTGAATCTCATGTATCGATAAAATCATAATTACACAATCGTGAGTCTATGAATACATGAAAGATTATCTCATAAATTTTATTACATATTTGTTTTTCTAAAATTAATGAGTTTAATAAAGTGTACCTAATCGATTAACTGAAGTTCCTAATCGACTGATTAATCGATTTCACTAATTATAATATTGTTTAGCTATAAAATGGGACTATATTTTATTAGATGATTGTTTCTGTTAATTTAAATTTGTTTAAATAACAGATGATTGGTTAACTCAAGATATTGTCACATATAGACATGCCAAAGGGATTTTTAGAGAATAGAATTTTGTTATTTTGACGAGTTTAGCTGCCATAGAGAGCGGCGGCCGGGAACGTTGTTTGTAAATATGTATAGTGTTACATTTTATTACACGCAATATTATTAATAAACACTTTATTAAAATACGCGCTTTTTATTGACAAAAGAAAATTGTCTCTATGGAGTAACTGTGTAGGATCCTCAGTCATTACTACTTAGTTAAATTGTTTCGACTTTTCAGTAGGGAAATGTTCAAGACTAATCAGAATCAGTCATTGGTATCGGTCTCCTTTTAATATTAATCTAACGCAAATAAAAATGTGTTTTATTTGACATTATACTTCCTGAGGAGGAGTAATTACTTGTATCTACTGACCAAACTACGTGAACACATCACTTGCACACATCCGCCCTCAGTAGTTTAACCTAAGTTTAGGTATGGGTAAATGATTCAAAGAGCCATCAGACCACCACAGATGGAGCCCAACAGGGCTGATGCCGATACGGAGCCGCGGAAGGCTTAACGGGTTGCCGGGGCTCCGACTCGAAGTGCAGGAGTAGGAACGGGGTGGTTTTAAATCAGTAAGAGTCTGAGTCCCGCCTCACCTCAAAAAAAAAATGGTATGGGTAAATGAAATAAAAGACAAAAATATTTTTCAATAATTATAATATTTATTCTAGTTGGCAGTTAATGACTATAGTATAATAATATCATAGACGTACGTCACCTATGAACGATACAAATGGCATACAAAATTGCTAAAAATAAACAGCTTATCATGAAGGCTCCGATTCTGTACTGAAGTAACTTTGGCTTAATTTATCAGAATCAGGACTTTATTATACGAAAATATACTGAGCTTATGTTACAACATTGGGCAAAAGTGCAACTTGCAACTTACTGCAACTTGCGACTGATTAGATGCACGCAGGAATATTTAAGCTATTATTTTTGTGATGCGAAATGAGACAGTGCTATGTACATAGTGCCTTATTCATATCTTTTACTAAAGGTAAAAACATATTTACGAGTCTTGGCGTCGTAACCACCAATCTAGCCCAATCGGCCATAAGAATTTAGCGATACGACATGCAAGTATGTCTCGAACCACAATACTCTTGTTTGAAACTGGTCACACACCACAATCATAGTATAAAGAACAAAGTAGGTTATCTTCATACAAATGCTCCGCGCGCGGCTTATATGTGTGCGCCATAGTATCTATGCGTCGACGCACGCACACTTTAACAAATCTCGACCCGTTTCTCAGTGCGCCAGGCAGGGCTAACACTGCACGAGGTTCGCGCGCGCATAACTTTTCGGCACTGTTAAATGAAATAAAAAATGTCTGATAACCGTAGAAGAACGTATTGCTGTGTGTTTGGTTGTCTTAATAATTAATCGATTCCAGAACTGTCTCTGTTCAGATTACCTATTGAACAAGAAAGGTAAGCTAGTCACTTTTTCTAGCATAATATAATTTGTAGGTACTTGATGATAAGATACCTACTTACTTATTCTTACTCTTATCATTCTTCATAGTTCCTACTCAACCAGAAATGTAATTACCTACTATACTTAAATATTATAAGAAAATGTGATATTGTATTGTTTATTTCACAGTTTATCTGATTTGTTAAGAGCGTGGCCGTGTCGCATTTTTCCATATAAATATATTCCAAAATTTACTTTCTGAATACTATGTATAGAGCTAAAGTTTATTTTAAGAAGTTAATAATCTTTTTATAAGCTTTTTATTATTACTAAATTTATAAATTGATAAAATATTCAATCATAATATGCTTTTCATTTCATAAATTTAGATCAAGTGCTGCTTGTTCGAAAATATTAACTAAAAGTAAAAGTGACAACCCTGGGGATCAACGCAAGAGTAGGCTAATAACTCGGCGGGCGGCCTTAGATAACCTACTGTGTTCTTTATACTATGCCACAATACGTAAGTATGTTTCCACCTTAAGAAAGTTGTAATAAGCTTCAATATATTTTCGTTTCAAAGCAGTAATACTGAAGCGCTATATGTTCGAAGGACTGGTAAATATCACATTAGCCTACACAACAACTAACTTACAATTTTGTTCATTAATTAGTTACTGCTAACGAAATGCACAATGTTTTTTAAATATTAGACTTTTCCAACTATCGAGATCAACTTAATAATAACAATATACGAGAGTAATTTTATAATTAGCACCAATATTAATTCACTTTACAGTGACACAAAAGCTTTTTAGAATTCATTAAAGAATTTGGATTGCATTTTCTCTGCTCAAAATGTCATTTTATATGCTTGGAATGTAGCACATTGTGTGATAACTGTGTATGTGCGACGGTATTTACAAATGTTGATGATGACACGCTCTTAGTATTCACAATATAGGATATATGATAACTGGACTGCTTAGAGCATCTAGAGTACAATATAATAGGTATTCGACTCATGTATATGACTTGACACCGTTGCCATACCATAAGGCACTTTTTGCTTTAGAATATAACAAGTGCAGCTACATGTTGTCTCAATATATTTACAAAGAATATTTACATTCGACATTACTGTTTTATACAAGGCACTCGTTCATGAACTTCCTTAAATTTAATAGTAGATTTCATCAAGACCACGTGCATTTTATAATGCCCTTTTACAATACAACGGCAACAGTGCAAGCATTAAATAGTTTCAAGCTTATGAGCTTAGTGAGTACAGAAGCACGTCAACCTATACCAATCCGTTCCAAACAATACATTACCAACTTTATCACCTTTGTGGTAAAGTCGAAAATCTACTAGGTTTGACAGTTTGATGTCTGGCTGTGTCTGTACAAGACCGCGTGACGTCCATTTGTCCGTGTGTTCAAGATGGCGGGGCGGTCAATATGTCGGGCGTCTGTTGCGGCGGACACGCGGTGATCAGGAGCTCGCCACCGCTCTCAGTGATCGGAACCGTCTTGTGGTAGTTTATGAGATCAGCTGGAAATTGCATTGAGAACAAATTAGTCTTTAAAGGACTGGAAAGAAAAAAGAAAGGAAGTCAGAAGTTGAAAACACTGTTAGCGAATTTGAATAAACTTTATAGGTTAGATCCTCCATATTCCATATTGAAGCCGAAGATCAGGTTCAGAGTATAAAAAGAAGAGTTTTTAGCCATCAGTAGCCATTAGTAGAAGTCATTTAATAGCATTAGCTGTGACTAGTATGTAACATACCAAGCGTATCATGCGCGACTTGTCCAGTAGGCAGCAGCCTGTACGCGCGCGCCGCCTCGACGAGGTAGTGCTTGCAGCGCGCAGTGTCGCGGTATGTCACCGCGTAGCCCCACACTCGCTCCGACACACGCACTAGGAAGCTCCCTGCTGGACAACCTGATAGAGCTGCTTCTGCCTCCGACCGGCTGATCAGACCTGAAATTTTATAAAAATTAAGTCAATCAAATGAAGAAAGAATGAGTACTGATTTCATGACCAGTATTTTAACCTTCTTCAAGCACACGAAAAATTGTATAAGGCCAAGTTTCCTCACTACACGACACGCGCGATGTTGTTTTACTGTATGTTAGTGGTGTCGAAAAATTTTCCCAACCCACTTCAATTTTAAACTGAATAGTGAAAGTCCTTACCGTGGAACCAATCAACTGGTTCATTGTTCTCGTCAAATCCAACACCTCTCTTCAGTTCGTGTGTCTGGAACCACTCCAGTACTGCTTCCCTGTTGGGTGGTTTGCCCGCTGCAATAAAATATCAAATAATAATTATATTTCTTTCTTGTAAAAAAAGGTTATCTGCTAAAGGTACACTTGCGAATTTGCCACAAAATAATAAAGTTGTGTTTTACCTTGTGTTGTGTCTGGCGGTGCTTCAATGTGTGCACTCCGCCGGTGCGCCTCTCTGGCTGCGCGCGCTATTTCTCGCATACTTGCTTCTGCTTCCTTTGCTTTACGCTCTAGAACATCATTAAAACCATCCTTTAAGACCGGGACCTCTTTGAACTTGTCTAAAACATCTTACTAGAGTGCAAGTCTCACGTCAAATGAAGAATTTAGCTATACATACCCTGGTCGCGCCAAGCTGCATCATGTGTCTGGGCGGCATGGTGTGCCAGCCTCATGGCCCGGGCTCGCTTGGCCCTGATTCCCCGCAGTATGTCTCCGGCCCTGGCAGCCGCTACACGCCTCTCCCAGGCTGCCACGAGCACACTGACACCATCGCCACCAGCTCCCACACCCATGTCCTGGACATATAGTGGTGTCTTTGGAGACTTTCGAAAAAACCACGTAGAAATAAATTAGAAAGCATTTGTCTAAAAGTTTAGAAGATAGAAAAAACTATCCGGAATTGTAAATCAAGCGATATAGCAAAACACGTGCCAAATCCACACAGCAATGCACAACACATGGTTTTCACTCTATTTTGGCCAGACACAATAATCTTATATCTGGGGTGACTATTTTGTTTCAAATCAATTTTTAACCCAATAGGAAGTACCAAGTATTTACGAAGCATCTTCCACGTTGCGATTTAGTGTGTTTCCAAATGACAAATGAACTGATTTCATGATTTTAAAATGGAAGCTGTACTGAAGGATAGTGAACATTAAAACGACAAAACTTAAAAATACGACTTTAATTAAAATAATATTTCTATAAAATACAAGGCTTGCTTATTCTTAAATTATACAATTAAGTACAAGAGAATGTTTACAGTGCTTTTCATCCGAACCTAACTAAAGATTTTAATGGGATTGCTTTATAAAACATATAGGCAAAGTGGCAACTAGAGATGAAAGAAGAAATAAAAAAGTACAAATGTAGACTACCAAACTTCTTCAATCAGATACGACAAGACAGGGCACACTTGAGACATGCAGAAGCAAAATTCTAAAACTACTAGTATTTACACACAAACTATAGTCAAAAAGTGAGAGAAAGGACTACACACTACAAGATTCTGGCCTTCAACTGACCTGCAGTACATCTCTCTTGCCCTCGATAAAATTAAAGTGAAGCGTGTTCTTATTGAGACCGAGTTTCAAGGCGTCATTGAAGTCAGGTTTGTCCAGATCGTCCTGCTCCAGCTTGACATCAGGCTCCAGCGCCTCGATCCTCTGTCGCAGCTCGTCCACTGTGCAGTATATCTCCAACGTGTCTTCTAACGGGTCTATCGTTTTCGGGGATAGATCGAATTTCTGAAACATTTCGGAACAATTGTTATAGTAGGTTAAGGAATCAAGGCAACTTCAATAAATAATTTGATATACAGGATAGAATCGAGTATTAGTTTGTGGAAATCTATGCTACATGAACTAATACTACAGAAAAAATAATTAAAACTAAAAATTATAGGAATCGATATTTAAGGAATCAAAACTAAATATTTTTCCTATAGTTTGATAAGAAATAAACTCTTTGTTGATTTTCATGACTTTAACTCGCAATGTTTTTGGGTCTCTCTACAGATTTATTTCATAGTTTTGATCTGTACATTTTATAGTTTCAATAACTGTAAGTAAAGTGTCAATTCAGTCAAAAGTTCCCTATTTATCAAAATGTTTCCTTTAGTTATAAATACTTGTTTAGTTATTACAATTGGTAGCCTTACCTGTTCTAAATCATCGAGCGGTTTGTATTCGATGAGTTGCGTGAGTTCCTTCTCGACGGACTTTCTTAGTTGCTGTACCTCCTGCCGCGCTTGCGCAATCGCCTTCTCTCGAGCCTCCTCAGCCAGGATCGTCTCTATTGACTTGTCGTCAGGGTGCTCTCCCATCACCCACACCTGAAACATCACAATTTACTGTTCAGACATCATAATTTATCAAGAGACATTTGTTGCTCATCAATAATCTAAACACTGCCTCAATATAATTAAGCATCCGACACCAATGGAAATAAGTAAAATTTTTACAGGTAATAAATCAATTAACAAAACGAAGTTAATGATGACTGATTACTCATCAATCAATAGTTTGGGTATTGTTTGAAAAGGTCAAATGTTTGACCAAACAATGGATGAAACCTTCGAATAATATTGAAGTCAAATCCATTTGAAGGCTGACTGTATTCTGTCGATTAAGCCGGATGTAAATTATATATCCAATTGCTATTGTATCGTTATTCACAATCTAAGTTTATAATTCTATATAGCCTTCGTTACTTATAATATTTCTATTATATTGAATTGATTCTGTGTTATAGGTATAGTTGTAGGTTTCTATAACAAGCCTTTCTTTATGTTATATGTTATGTCGTCTATATTTTCAATATCTCGATGATTCTTTATGACTTGTGAACCTTCATCTTAATACGACTATTACGACAGAAGTAATTTTTCTTCATCAGGTTTAATCACCACTTCACACTTACTCTCTCTTGCAAATAATAGTAAATATTGTATCCTCACCCATGGCTCTCCGTCCTCTCCCGTAAGGAACTGCACCTGCTTCTTGCCATTCTTCTGGAATTTTGGTCTCTCATCTTCCTCGCCGACCTTCTCGTCCCAGAGTTGCCAGCGACGGACCTGGAAAATGAGAACAAGTTTTTATATAAAAATATCAACCACTTTGTTATAATGCCGTTTTGCATCATCAGTAACAGTTTCATCCCAAAGGTTTTAAGCGCTGTACTATGCAATGTTAATACCAAATACAATTTCCCTTGATAACAATCTGCAGAACAAATGTTTGGCTAACCGGATGGGTTAGTTTAACCCCAACAATCGCATTGTAACCGGTAACGTTAACTTGTTGTTAGATGCAATCTATGGCGTCACGAATCGCCCGGCATTACGGGAGCTGGACAAAAAGCGACCTTGTGCTAAATTGAAAGTAACATTAAACAAGTTGATCTTTGTTGCATTAGAAATATAGATTATTATATAATTGGCAGATAGGAAACAAACGGCCATACAGATAAATGGATAGATTACTTTTTGCCAAAGTACAACTATGTCCATAATTATTAATAATTTTATAGAGCGGCCATAAGAGGCTCACCAAGGGAAATTAAGGAGTTCTCCCTGCTAACATGAGTGTTTAATATACAAAAGTTGTGTAGTAAAAGTGTTTTAGGAAAACGCATAAAATAATAGACGTGATGGTATGAAAAATCTAAAGATAAACATGATTGTAATGAAATTAATTCTTATTGCTCACTTTACACAAAGCATTGAGTCTAGCTAGATAAAATTAGGTATCTACAAGTATTTGTTTAAGCTCTAGGTTACAATATTATACTAGGTTTTGTAAACGCCCAACACGAATCCTGTCGTGGTCTGGCGTGCTGTTGGAATGCATCAAGGTCACTTCGAGTTGACCTCAGCCGTCACCTCGGGGTCCACATTCATTAGGCATACCATATTATATGCCAATTAAGGATTTCAACGAGTGACTGAGCTTACAATACTAAAATATCCTTTGCTGGTTATGACGTTTTCTGGGTTTTGGTAGCCGGATACTTTTTAATTAGTATTTTGATGTTTCTAGTAGAATAATAGCAAGATAATTGTTCTTCCATGCCGGTTTCGTCTACAGCGACTGTTTTATGACTACTGGCCTCTATCACTGGATCTCCTGTGCCTGGCTCTCTACTATGAGCCTATTTAAATTAAGTAGGTACGAGTATATAAAGTACTAGCTTTTACCCGCGGCTACGCTCGCGTCACAAAAGGATAAAAAGTAGCCTATGTGACATATACCAATACACACAGCGCTATCTAAACCAATACTTTTGTTTTCCCTCGGGAATATCAAATTTTTCCGGGATAAAAGTACCCTATTATTTAATCCAGGCTTCTAACTTTACGTCTGCAAAAATTCAAAGCAATCGGTTTAGTAGTTACGGCGTGAAAGCGGAACAAACAAACAAACTCACTTTCCAATTTATAATATTAGTAAGGATATGTGATTAGTGTCATTTAACGATCTGGATTTTAAGTCAGATGCCAGACACGATAAAGCCAGACTCCCTATCGCTATCTACGTAATACAATAGTACAAATAAAATAAATAACCTTCAAAAAATAGTAATACAATCAAAGTCTAATAGCTTAATAAGCGGTTAAAACTTAAGTTCAATATTCGAAAAAATATAATTGATCTATTAAATCTATACACTTAAAACGATTGCTAATGTTTTATAATCTGATTTATGTAGCTACCTGTTTTTTTTATTTGTAATAAGTATAAAAAACTTGGACCATTTTAATGTACGGAGTAATCAGTGGGTAGGTACATTACAAGCTATTTATTTTTTACAAATTAATACCCAATTACTGACACAATTAGCCTGACTGCCTCGTTGGCCTCTACCTCCGTCGTGTAATCGAGGCATACCTGACGGACAGGTCCGTCATCTACCCCGGTCACCGGGGCGAGTGGAACCGGCGAGAGATGTCACGCGGTGTTCCACAGGGTTCGGTTCTGGGGCCGCTCCTGTGGAACATCGGTTATGACTGGGTGCTGCGCTCCGACCTCCCGAACGGCGTTAGCATGATATGCTACGCCGACGACACGCTGGTGCTAGCGCACGGGAGGTCGCACCAGGCGGCGGCCGATTTAATGGCGACAGCGGTTGCGACAGTCGTTGAGAGAATCCGGCAGTTGGGACTCGAGGTGGCGCTCCACAAGTCCGAGGCCATGTGTTTTCATGGCCGCGGGAATGCGCCACCTACTGGTGGGTCTCAAATAATGGCGGGAGGGGTTACCATCGGCGTCGAGACGGCGATGAAGTACCTGGGACTCGTCCTCGACAGTCGATGGAACTTCGTGGAGCACTTCCGACGTTTGGCTCCAAAGTTGGCGAGGGTGGGGGCTGCGTTTAAGCGCATCCTCCCCAACCTCGGGGGGCCAAACGCCTCCTGCCGGAGGTTATACGCCGGGGTCGTGCGGTCCATGGCCCTCTACGGCGCCCCTGTTTGGGCGCCGAACCTGCTGCAGCGGCCCGCTCGGGCGCTGCTTATGGCACAAAGGGTCATGGCGATCCGAATGATCCGCGGATACCGCACGATCTCTGGGGAGTCGGCGAACCTCCTTGCCGGATTACCGCCGTGGGATCTGGAGGCGAAGGTGCTCGCGCGCGTGTATCGCATGCGCGCGGAGGCACGTCGCCGGGGCGAAACTCCGCTGCCGCGCCAGATAAGTGCGTGGCGGGATGAGCTCCGGCGCGATCTCATGGCGGAATGGCAGCAACGACTGTCGCAACCGAGGGCTGGGCTCGCTGCCATTGCAGCGGTTATCCCCTCTTTGAGGAGTGGCTTGAGAGACGCTACGGCGTCCTCACCTACCGCCTGACGCAGGTCCTCACCGGACATGGAAGTTTCGGGAGGTACCTGTGTCTGATGGGGCGGGAGGAAACGCCCGGGTGTCAGCGAGGACCACCCTGAGGACACGGTGGAACACACTGTTGCGGAATGCCCTGCGTGGGCTGAGCACCGCCGTGCCCTCAGGGAAGTGATCGGCGATGGAGACCTCTCGCGTCCGGGCCTAGTTCAGGCCATGATGCGGAGCGAGGGGGACTGGGATGCCGTCTCCTCCTTTTGCGAAGCAGTCATGCTGGCTAAGGAGGAGGCGGGACGCGTGAGGCAGCGAAGCGCTGCCTCCTCGCAACCCAGCCATCGCGAAGGACACACCGGGCGTCGGGGATCGCGGGACGATCTCCGGCCACCGTAAGCGCGGGCCTGCGGACGGCGAGCATGGGTGGCTCCCCGTCCGACCAGAAACAGACCCGAGCGTACGGCGCGTCGCGTTCCGCGCGCGCCTCAAAGAGCCATCAGACCACCACAGATGGGGCCCAATAGGGCCGATGCCGATTCGGAGTCGCGGAGAACCTAACGGGTAACCGGGGCTCCGGCTCGACGTGCAGGAGAAGGAACGGGGTGGTTTTTAGTCAGTAAGAGTCTGACACTCCCTTCCGCCTCACCCAGGCGGGAGCAGTCATTCGATGATTTTCCCCCCTTAAAAAAAAAAAAAAAAAGTGGTCTCAAGTGCGACTGCCGAGTAAAGGGTCTCGGGTTTCCAGGTCGGGCAGTTCGTAGGGATTTAAAAAAAATTCTCAGTAGTAGCACGAAGTCTAGAATTGTGCCCAAAATATAGCAATATGCTCCACCCTATTACATGGGACTCATAACATAAATAGTGAATTATAGTGGGTATTACATTGTACAGCGGCATTAAATGCGCACTTCTGCCTACCCCTTCGGGGATAAAAAAGGCGTAATGTTATATAATATTATGGCACAACTAGTAATTTGCGACATTCACATTTCTTAAGTGGATATAAGCAATGATAAAATAAACAAAAATACCTAATGATGTTACGCAAAAACGTAAACTTAGCATTTTACACAGACAAAGAAGAGACAGAGAAGTATTATTGCCAGACACTACATCCAGCACCACCACAAGACATTCTTGTATCACGGAAGCTGTCAAGACATGACAAAGTACGTTCACAATATCCTAAACTTCGCGGCAATTTTACAAACACTAGCATATCAAATTATGTAGCCTTGGAATTCTATTCATAAATAGGATATAGTTTTGTAAGGGTTAATTAAAAGATTTTTACCAAATAAAGCAAATATCTTTCAAATCACAGTTTTTGTTTCATGGTTAGAATGCCGCCAATCATTGTGCGGCTTCCTGTTATTTATTATTGGAACAAAGAACGGGGAAGAAATATCTTAACTACTACATTCACAAAAAATATAAAATTCATTACCAACTTATTTTTTAACTTTTTTTATTTATATAAATATATTGAGGTTTATAACCAATAATAATATGCCAACCCTATAGTATTTTTTATGAGCCAAGCCGATAAACGAGCAGACAGATCACATGATGGTAAGCAATCGACGCTGCCCATGGACACCTGGAACACCAGAGGCGTTACAAGTGAGTTACCGTCCTATTGGAGATGACGAATTTGAGGATTATTTAGGATTCAGGGAGATTAGGAAGGGTTGGACCTTCAGTAACCTCACTCACACGACGAACGAAACACAACGCAAGTGTTGTTCCACGCCGGTTTATTGTGAGGCCGTGGCATCACTCCGGCCGAGCCGGTCCATTCGTGCCGAAGGATGGCTCTCCCACACTTAAGTTTCTAACTCCTTTCAAGTGTGCCTCGTTAGTGGTACAGTGGTTGCTAACCCTGTAAGCTCGCTAAGTAAGGAGCAAGGAGTCCCAACCTGAATAAGAATATTACAGTCATTGGGGGAGGCCTATGTTCAACAGTAGACGTCTTATGGCTGATATAAAGATGATGATTATTTAAGAAAATTAGAATGTTATGTAACTTATCATTTATTTACTGTAGATGATTAAAAGAGTTATAGTACTGACGTAACTACAGAGTACATATTCACAGTAACTTGGTGTAATGGCGTCGCCGAAACTCGTAAAATAATGGAAGCGAAGGCATGTCGAATGACTGCACGCGTATTAATAGAGATAAGGCTACAACGGCTACAACTAAAGGCTAGGATCTAATACATTCTAGGAATAGTATTCTGATAGAATCAGTACCTATTTATAGTCAATTCCGGTTATTAAACTGACAATAGATTATTGCTTTTTATAGGTTTTTTTTTTGTATATAAAATATTGCACAATGTGTGTTTTTTTAGCTAGATTAGGTAGCAGTTCATTACTCTCTGAGTGTTCTTTAGAGTGGTACACAAAGGATCACATTACGGCGTTTAATGCCATTGTACAATTTAACACCCACTTTTCACTATTTATGTTATGAGTCCCATGTAATAGGGGGTGAGCCTATTGCCATATACCGGGCCCAATTCCAGAGTCCGTGCCACCACTGAGATTGTATTTAAAAACCCAATAGTACTTTTCCGACCGGGGAATCGAACCCGAGACCCCTTGCCCGGCAGTCGCACTTGCGACCAATGAGGCAGTCAGTAAAATATCTTCTTATATTATAATAAAGCTGTGCAGTACAGTGGTTTATCAAGTGTCTTTGATTTCACTTACAAGAGCCGCACACAATACAGCAGGTCCTATGTGGTGGACTTGTCTAGATTTTTTTTTGAAAAAACCTTGCCCCATTTATCTCCTGTGTCGTGGGTGCGTTTACATATATACAAGTTCACATACACAATGACACCCAGACCCAAAACAACAATTTGTGGATCACACAAAGTGTTGTTCCGTGCGGGAATCGAACCCGCGACACGTTGCACGGCAGCCGGTTGCTCAGCCACCGCACCAACCGTGTAGTCAAAGTATTGAACCAAAAATGGTAATTACCTGTTCCTCCCTCATCTTGCAGAAGAGCGTCTGCTTCTGCGTCTCGTCCAGCTCGGCCAGGATCTCGGGGTCCACCCACATGTCGCGCAGGATCTGCTGCAACATCGTGCCGGCCCTGAGGGCAATACAAACAAATCTGTATAAACACTGGGGCTCTCATAATATGATAGATCACAGTAAAATTAAAATATACTACTTTATGATCATAGGTTTTTTTAAGGGGGGAAAATCATCGAAAGGTTTCTCCCGCCCGAGTGAGATGAGAGGGAGTGTCACACTCTTACTGATTAAAACCACCCCGTTCCTACTCCTACTCTTCGAGCCGGAGTCTCGATCATGGAAACGATCCTACTGATCGTTTCTTCAGTTTACTTCGTAACTTAACTGGTAATAAACACCAGAATTATTCCATTTGTTTTGAAGAAGTAACCAGGAGTTTCCCTAAAGTATAACATAACCAATATTCAATTTAATCTCAGGTTAAATATTCCCATTTAATAATACGTATGGACAGCATTTAAGTAATTAACAAAATACTACGAGCAATCTCAAGATCATTCGAGCAATCATTGAGACACCTCTTGCCCAGTCACATTGTCTTCATGATTTAATAATTGTCTCACCAATTTGTCACACAATTTATTGAGCAGTAAGTATAGTATTTACAAGGGCGATCAGAACGTGTACTAAGTAAGCATTACTTAAATTGAGCAATTGCCAATTGGCAACATTTCACGACTGGCACGTTTGGCAATGGCACTCATGAACTCACTGTCATTAGTGATGACACGACGAAAGAAAGTGCAACATGACGATGACTGTGACCGCAGTTATGAGAGCTTTCTCCTTGTTATAATGATCATATTTGTACTTCTGTGCTGTACTTACTTCATTTTGTAATAATGTTCTTTAGATGTAAAAGTCAAAGTTAAGGAAAATTGTAGAGCGTTTTCGTTGAACTTTTTAATAATGCCTAGCAACGTGGGCGCGACCCAACTTTGTCGATGTTTACAAAACACATTACAAAGCGTAAAACTTTTCTAATATTAGAACAATTTTTAAACAATCTTTAGATTGATATGAATAAATCATTTTCATATCTTAATAATAACAAACATTACCTTTGATCTCAAACCATAAAAAGCAACAAAAAACATCTAAACATTGAAAGAACAAAAACTACATCTAAAATCAGTCATAAAGTTACAACTGACAGTGAAAGCAAGGTGGTGCTAATTATTGAGTTTCCTTCGAGTCCCGTGTGAGTAGACAAGTTGATACCATACAATGAACATCAACACCAATGGCAACCTGCTTCCGTATATCAATGTTATAGAACTTGTTGACCTTTTACTAGACATATTTGCACGTGCAAATATATGTATAATGTACGTAGTTGTTACTTGAAGTTACTAGTTGTTTGTAGATTAATTTAAAGACATTGTTAGGTGATACAGTTTAATTAATTAATTGTGTAATGTATTGTATTGAGTGCTATAATGTATCGTAATGAATGTGATAAAAGAAAGTAGGTACTTAAACATAGATTAATTAAAGTTACTTATGTTTGAGCGTCCTATTTCATAATATCGAAATTGCTACGTTAGGCTCATAACCCGATGGGAAATCTGAAAAATCTGATGTGACTTTAGCTACTATTTGCACAGTCAAAGTCAAAATCATTTATTTCAATGCACTTTTGAACGTTAAAACAAAATATTAAAAAAAAAACAAATGTGAGTCTATCAGTCAGTTTTCTAGTGAAGCTATTTGCTCGTTCCTAAGCGTGTGCCTATGGAGAAGAACGAGCAAGAAACTCCATAGGTTACTCTTTTTCAATCAGATTCACTACAGTTTAAAACTCTCAGTTGACAAAGACGTGGGTAATGTAAAAACTAACGAAATGAAGAGGCCTCTTACCCAACAAGAGATTAAAACCTCAACAGCCCTAATTAAACCTACAACAACTACGTCAAAATATTAGGAAAATTCCACAGTTCATTTCTATTACAAAAACCTTTGTTTGAACAAGACAGAACATGGCGCCTTATCGTGTACTGTTTGCATACATTAATCTACGTGTAACATAGGATCATTTATGTATGCATGAACTAGTATTTAATTATGAACCTAACATTATTTCATTGATAAAGGGAGGCCCTCTTTATCAATGAACTACAACAATGGGGATGGGAACCCAATAAACCAATAAATAATTCTAAATTACGAAATGAAAACTTTATTGTTCCATCTAAATACAAATAAAATCCAGCGAAATCCTTCGAAGTTTGAATTTAACCGCCAAATTACAAAGCATAGAGTGTTTACTTATTTTTTAATGCCAGTAAGACGTTTTTAACCACACGGTGTTTAAGTATAAATGTCAACTAGTGGATTTAAGAGTTTTGTTGTGGTTTTCCCCTACAATAGCCGGTCACGAGCCCATATTTTTATCTTATTGTATATCTTAATGAGGCAAAAAAAGTTTTGTGTAAAGAACTCTAGGCTTGCGTGGATTCGTCTTCCAAACAAAATATGTTTAACTTGCTAAGGAGGATGTTAAATTATTGATTCTATCTATCATCAGAATTCGATTTTATCGTGATTTTTATTCGTCAGGCAACTGAATCAGCATTTCTTTTTCAAATGTATCTAGTATTTACTAGTCTAGTATTTACCTATTCTACATTTAGCTAAAAAGTACTTCAAAGTATGCGAATACAAAAAAATAAAAATTCGTGGAACAATCGACTTCTGTTTTAAATGTATCTAGTCTAGTATTTACCTATTCTACATTTAGCTAAAAAGTACTACTTCAAAGTATGCGAATACAAAAAATTAAAAATTCATGGAAGAATCGACCTGATAACGTTCCTTTTATCAGGCTTCTCGGCATCGAGAACAAAGACTGAATATTGCAAAGGCGATCGTGTGCTGGCGCAGACGCCGCATATCAATCGCGATCCACGCGCGACATGCATTATGTATGCGCCTGTACAAGTTTACACTGTACACTTCGCGATGGACAGAAGGTTCACTGCTCCTCATCAATCATTGGAATCATATTTCATGTCTGTAGTAAAGCTCCAATCGAGGCAATTTTACCAGATTGAAATTCTCCAAGTTATGGTTTCTATACGACTCTCATTGGAAGCTATAAATCTATAAGCATATATCACTATACTTATAATATTCATATTCAAGTTCGCTACTCTTACATGAGACTAATTAAACTGGAGCATACTTTAAAATATAAATGAGTCTATTCTTTTCATCGTTGTAATAGTCAGTCTCTTTCCTTTTATACGTGCTTCGTCACCATTATGCATCGTCCCATTTGGCTGACTATCGTACGATTGAACGATGCGATTTCGTCGCACGACGAGTCTGTGCTTGTGCGATAATTTGCAAGTTTCAATTAGGACAGTCTAAAGAAATGTGTGTTTTATCTCATCTTGCGACGGAATCGCATCGTTCAAGTTCCTCATTCGATGATAAGCTAAAACGTCGTGTCTTAGGTCTCATATTTCTGCTGTCTTCTTCGTTGTGACTTTCATACTATGTATATTAGAATGTTTTGTATGTTTCATGCGACAAGCAACCTTTTTCAGAACAAAATATGGCCTATTAATCTCTGCAAAAGGACTCCGGTTGCCAGCGATACGATTGTTACTTATCGCGTTGCCTGGCAACGGATAAACACATCAGAATGTAAAAAATGGTCAGACCGGTTTGAAAAATACCTATAGACTGTATCCCAAGTAATCAGAATCCTTTGTATGTACTAAGGTTCATTTGAGGCTAAAGCTCATAATACATACACGTAATAAAGTATACACCATTCTTCGTTTTCATTGCGGTCAAAGCTTTTAAAACGAAACATCTTCAGAATTCCCAACCTTAAAAGAGAGCAGTTTTCAAAGAACATGAATATTCATAGAAACATAACAACGCCTCCATATTACCTCACTTCGAGCCTGTAACTGACAAAGGACTGCTCGTGACCGTCGCTTGCGCAACTCGCGATGGATATAAGTAACAACTGGTAGTGCGCATGCGCTATAGTTCAAAAGTGAAGGTGACGCAAATGCCAGAGCTTTGGGCTTTGCTTGCTACGTATTGTTTAGGCTTTATTCAAGTTTATAATGCGAATCAAAGTTGTTAGATTCGCCATTGTAATCGGATTGGCAATATATATATATATATATATAATATATATATTATATATATTCTAAAGGTTCAACTTATTCAATCATCTTTTTAATTTCATACTTTATACAATCCCTAAAACCGGGTTAAAAATGTAATCAATCGTAACGTTAAAATATAATAATCTTTTAAGTAATCGCCATCAGTAATCTCTACTAAACACTTACGCCACAGAGCTTTCAGATTTTTAACCTACGACGCAAAATTTGAGCAATCTGTACATATTTATTTTATTCAAAACCTGTAAGCAATCTCAATAATCTGTAAAACTCTATACTCTTCACCTAACTCTATTCAATCAAACCATCACACTCTTAATGGTATAGTTTAATTCCATTATTATGTATTTGAGCCTTTTTATTTCATTATTAGATGTAATTTTTTAATTTGCCTTTTACTTGTATCAATTTAAACTGTCAAACACCAAGCGGTCACCGGTGACCGCGACCTATTGTTCTTTAATTGTGTCTATAAAACCGGTACTCGACGAGTTAAGTCAACTAGTTTAAGGGTTTCTGGATTTGTATTAATAGGACTGACATGTCTTCAGATAAAAGTCCTGTAAATAAATAAAGAAGATAAAAAAATTAAAAAAATAACCATCACACTGTATAAAAAAACATGTTAGTATTGTCAGTGATTAGAACGTTGTGCCAGTAACCTATCTATTCAGATCTGACTTCAATGCTAACCACGAACCAGTGTGAGCACACCTGGCGTCTACTGGCCACGACTGCAAGACGTGAGCCTCAATATTCATACAGGTTACTTTAAACAAGTATTTGATTAGAAAGTACTATAGTTATAGATAAAATTAGGTTTGGAAGGGCGAACCATAGCATGATGTAATTGTATCGTAGGAAAGTGAAAAATGTATCTTGAATATTTTTTTATAGGATACTTAGGTCATCTTAATCAAAATCGAAGCGAAAAATGAGAATTTTAGAATTTTTGTTCGTTTTGTCTTTATGTATGTCCGGGCTAAACTTAAAAAGTACCGTATGGATTTACTTAAAATTTTTAATGAATGTTCTTTAAATAAGAAAAACTGGTAGAGCTTTTTTTAGTATATTCACGTGATTAACTCGCAATTTTTGTTAAGATTAAGATATGTGAAAATACAAAGCAAAAAAAATAACTATCGTGAGGCATGCTAAAATAACTAAAAGTTACGAATTTCTCACGTAAACATACTGGCAAAAGCTCTACTAGTTTCAAGTCACAGAGGGATTCTTCCACATGAGCAGCATGTGCGGTCTCGGCGATGTCGCGCAAACCTACTTACGCCGTGACATCGCAGTAGAGCTTTTCTACTGAAAATCTCGTAATTTTTACTTTAAGTTAATAAGAAAATACTGAGAAACTAAAAACCAAAGCAATCCTTGAGAAATGCTATTCTTTCTTCAAAGAGAAACTGCAACTTTCTAAAACATCTTTGGACCATACAGCAATATTTTTTTTTAATCCGGTAAACGAGCAGACGGATCACCTGATGGTAAGCTATCGGCGCCGCCCATGGACACCTGGAACACCAGAGGCGTTACAAGTGCGTTACCGGCCTTTTGGGATTAGAAATTTGAGGATTGTTGGGGATTCAGCAACACAACGTTGTTTCACGTCGGTCTTCTGTGCGGCCGTGGTATCACTCCGGTCGAGCCGGCCCATTCATGCCGAAGCATGGCTCTCCCACACTTAAAAACCACCACCACTTTCAATAAGTTAAGCACTTAGTCTGTCTTTACGAGCGGAAGATGTCAGATAAAATCAATCGGAAGCTCGAATTGAATTTGCAATCACTTTTATTGATCTTGATGTAGCACTCAGACCTTTGGAACAGTAAGACCTTAAAAGCAATAGGTTCACTATTGTAACGTAAATGTATCTTTATTAACTACAGCTGTTGCCTGTGAATTTATCCGCGTAGAATATGACTCCCGTTTTATCCCGTGGGAGCATTTAATCGGGATAAGCATCCTATCACCTAAGTCAACCCAAACCCTGCCTGTATACCAAATTTTATCTAAATCTGTTCAGTAGTTTCAGCGTGATTGATGGACAAACATATTAACATTTATAATATTAGTGTGATAATACATAGCTTTAACTTAGTTTAAAAATCTACGATAGTATTATTAAGTGGTCTTTTTAATTTATACAAAAATCGCACTAACGCCTTAAAGAATAAAGCTAAGAATAAAATTGACAAAATAATACCTGATGTTTTCCTTATAAGATAATAAATTAAGCTAATATTGAAATTATTTGATATACCTAATTACGTAATCTAGAATTATTAGTCAGAAAAAGAGCAATCAGAAAACCTTGTTTAAATTAATTCATGACATAAGATTTACACATGCATACATACATTATACATACTTATTAATTCATTTTATTTGTAAAAAAAACAAGCTTTAAAAAAATGTATTCACGTGACGTGTTAACCTTCAGTAAGTGCAGTAAGCACTCGATATGCTCAATGAAGAAGAAAGTATGCGCCAGCGCAGCGAGTGGGCGTGACCCCGTCTGAGGTCAAGGATAGCGCGAAGTTTGCTTATAGGCAAGCTTTTTGCTGTAATATTTTTTTATAAGACTGTTTGAGTACTATGATATTTGATAGATCAATTACATGCAAAAAAATAGAAATAGTAGGTACCTATATTTTCCGGTACTAAAAGATTGTCGACAACGTGATAATGCAAATATAGATACTTTCGTCAACTTAAAAATGGGCTATAAAAGGGCTTAAAAAGTTATAGGTACCCATTGATAAAAAAATACAAATGTATAACATTCAATTATTTACAACTATGAACAGACGGAGTATATATTTTCTCATTTAGGTACTTTTAACACCTCTTTTATATTATGTACTTTGATTTAGTTTTCTCTTTAATTTAATTTGATTAATGTTATTGGTATCTACCGTGTTAATTAATAAACAAAATAAGTAAATAAATAAATGAAATAATACATTATTACGCTTAAAACTAAGGACAGGAAGAAAGCCTAGTACTAATATTTGTAGCGATTTACTTGAACTTTGGTAATTTAAATGCCAAGAACTTTAAATATCCATCAAAATAAAATATATTTTTTCCCCGGTACCGATGACCGCACGGTCGATATCATCACCAGTTTTAGAACAATAAACTTTATCCCGGTTCTTTAATTGAATTTGTGTCAATTAAAAACAATAACCACAGACGTCTTTGTCTTTGTCGACAGTTTGCTAAAAATGTTGACTTCTAACATATTGTTCATGGGCAATACAATATGTTTTTCACAACTTACTATTTGATAGACAAGTTAGACATGCACCTTACCTAGAAACAACACTACAATAAACAATACCACGCGGAGTAATAAAAATTACACATTCATAATTAAATTTATACAAAAATGAATGTTATTATTAAAAGAGAAACATACAGAGTCAACGTCAAATACATTTATTTCAATTACACCAGAAACGCACTTTTGAACGCCAATCTACTTGTAAAGTGTCTGTCTGACGCAGTCCTCATATTTAAACTGCTAACAACAGGACGGTCAGGCAACAATACAACACTTCGGATAAACTAGCAAGTTGCAAGCTTACTTCTATTCCAGTATATAATAGATACAGTTCTTGAAATAATGACAGCAATCATATCGCTGTCACAGCTATCAACATTGATTTATACGAATAAGATTATGCGCATTCGTTATGCAAGCCGCATTGCAAACTGTCTACTACTAACAATTCAGGTTTCACAACATTGAGCTACATACACAGATATTTTTGACTGAAAATGTTATAATCTAAGTCCAAAACATAACAACATTGACATTAAGATAACATAAAATACATTATTAAAAAGAATAAAGAATAATTTTACATCAGTCAATGAATGTATTAACTTATTACAGACAGCCTTGCATCTTGAATGCCTTGACCATATTTTTAAAACATAAAACAATAAGAATCCATAAAAAATGTAGAACAGTGAAAAGTTGAAATGCACAGAAATGTAGGCATAATTCAAATTGTCAATAGCACTGGTTTTTGCAATTCTTTTTAAAACAATAAGCTGTCGGCATGACGTATGTCAAATGACTTTCCGCGGGAAACAAAGCCAGCTCGAAAGTGGGTTGCACCGACAAATTAGAGGTTACCTTACCGTGTCATGGAGTTCGCTAAAGATTCGTATCTCGACTTCAATATAATCATTATAACATACCCCATGATTATGTAAAAGTATCGCTATAAGAATGCGTGTAAAAGAACACGAAAGCAACATTTTCTAGACAAACAAGCAAATAATTTGCTTTCGTGCTTGTTCATAGCCAATTATCGTGAAGGAAATAGTTTTAACTACGATTAAAATTTCATTGGTGAACCAATTTCACTGGCTCGTTTGCGTAGATCTGTTTTAAGGCAATAGGTCAAGGAGACAAAACGTGGGTGAAACAAATAGCAATACCAAAAGCTTCCTATCAGTATAAAGACTAGCAAGGTAATATTTAAAATTCCGCAGCATGCTAACATTATTAAAACAAAGATGGAGTTCACAAACTTCAACATATATTTCTGATAAATTCTAACCTCAATTTCTAAAATGTATATTTAAGCGTTGAAATGAGCAGTCGTTAAAAGAAACACAGAATCTTATCGTTGCGTGGGCAATTGGGCATGGCGGAACAAGTGAACACGTGTTCGCAAAAAACACAGGCGCGGCCGCGTCGGCATAATGTCATGCTTGTGTACGCCCGTTTTTGTGTAGGTAACTACAAGTCGATGAACCTAGTCCCTTGCGAGACGGCCAAGTATAGCTTTATAAAACGACGAATGTGTGACTGGAGTTAAAGCTTTAGTTATATTTTCTCGAATCACTTCAGTAATATTAACATACGTCGGCTATTAAGTAATAAACAAAATAATAATTGCAAGCTCTCAAGGATATGGCTTCCGAAACAAATAAAACGCTGCGTATACTTTTTTTACTTGCACTTTTAACAAAAACAACCGAGCAATAAATAGCGGGTTATTTCTTGACTACAACGAGAGTTTAACGTTATTTATATAGTACTGTTACAGTGAAATAATGCCGCAACACACATTAAAGCCTTAATGTTCAGCGACCGTGTAAAATATGTAAGCCACCGTATAAACTTGTGGTAAGCTCTAGTTTGTTAATCTTAGTTTAACGGGTCGGTGTAATCAACCATTCGATAGAAAAATCCAAGTTTACAATTTATCCCGAGCCTGATGTTCGGACATCTCGTAATCAAAAAGTATTGTTAATCTATGAATCTGTAGCTGTACGAAATAATTTCGAAAATTTTGTCAATTACAATTGAATTAGATACTTTTATATATTTTTCTGAACACACCCACGTATAGAATTGTCAAATGTTTAAAAGATTTAACCTACTGATAATTCCAAACACACGCTTATTCAAACACTAGCTGTTGCCCGCGACTTCGTCCGCGTAGATTAATGACTTCTGACAGAATTAATCAGAATCAATTCAGTGCCCAAGTAAGATTTACCTATTTTGAAATGATTTATCGTAGTTTCAATAAATAAATAATCCCGCAGGGATCTTACCAGTACAGTGCCCGATCACGTAAGGTTTGAGTAATAAAAACTATTCTATCGACTATTGTTGTACCGAATCTCTCTAAAATAAGTTCAGTGGTTAAGAGTTAGACAGTCCCGGGGCATTGACGTATAGTTCCCGTTCCCGTGGGACATCTGTGATAAAAACTATCAAACGTTACCCAGGTCCCAAAACTTCGTTTTACCGAATGTAATTCAAAAATATTCAATGATTCTAAATTCAATGGCTAAGAAGATTTATACAAACTATCATTCCCTATTTTATCCCCTTAGGGGTGGAATTTATCAAAATCCTTTCTAAGGAGATATCTATGTCATAGTAAATTTATGCATGCAAAGTCTCAGCCCGATCAATTTAAAACTGGCAAAGTATCATACTTTGGGGTGAGAATGTTCAAAAACCTTTCTAAAGGGACGTTTACGTCATAATATCCATCTGCACGCCGAATTTCAACCCGATCGGTGTAAAACTGACATAGCTTCATACAAACGTTCATCCCCTACATTACCCCATTGGAGGTGGAAATAATCGAAATCCTTACTTGGGGATGCCTACGTCATAACATCTACCTGCATGCCGAATTTCATCTGCATCGGTGTAAAACTGACAAAGCTTCATATAAACTTTCACCCCCTTTTTTAACCCCCTTAGGGGTGGAAATGATCAAAATCCTTTCTTAGCGGATGCTTATATGATAACATCTATCTGCATGTCAAATTTCAATCCGATCGATTTAAAATTGACAAAGTCTCATACAAACTTTCATCCCCTATTTTACCCCCTTGGGGGTGGAAATTATCAAAATCCTTTCACAGCGGATTACTACGGCATAACATCTATCTGCATGCCAAATTTCAACCCGATCGGTTTAAAACTGACAAAGTCCTATACAAACTTTGATCCCCTATTTTACCCCCTTGGGGGTGGAAATTATCAAAATCCTTTCACAGCGGATGGCTACGTCATAACATCTATCTGCATGCCAAATTTCAACCCGATCGGTTTAAAACTGACAAAGTTTCATACAAACTTTCATCCCCTATTTTACCCCCTTGGGGGTGGAAATTATCAAAATCCTTTCACAGCGGATTACTACGTCATAACATCTATCTGCATGCCAAATTTCAACCCGATCGGTTTAAAACTGACAAAGTCCCATACAAACTTTCATACCCTATTTTACCCCCTTGGGGGTGGAAATTATCAAAATCCTTTCACAGCGGATGCCTACGTCATAACATCTATCTGCATGCCAAATTTAAACCCGATCGGTTTAAAACTGACAAAGTTTCATACAAACTTTCATCCCCTTTTTTACCCCCTTGGGGGTGGAAATTATCAAAATCCTTTCTTAGCGGATGCCTACGTCATAACATCTATCTGCATGCCAAATTTAAACCCGATCGGTTTAAAACTGACAAAGTTTCATACAAACTTTCATCCCCTTTTTTACCCCCTTGGGGGTGGAAATTATCAAAATCCTTTCTTAGCGGATGCCTACGTCATAACATCTATCTGTATTCCAAATTTTAGCCCAATCTATCCAGCGGTTTGGGCTGTGCGTTGATAGATCACTATGTCAGTCAGTCAGTCAGTCAATCACCTTTGAATTATATATATATAGAAATTAAAGTCTTCAACTTTATTTTATTTACATTGGTACAAATTAGAATGTGTAGGACTAATCGTGTTCAAAAAGTCCTTGTTACTCCGCTGTTTCGCTGAGCGAATCAATGTCTGTATAGGATATACTCAGGTACTTTTAATTTTAAATGATCGGTACTCATGGCTCTATATTTTTTACTCACGTTTTTATTTTATTCTATAACTTTCAAGTGTGGAAGATGTCATGCTTCGGCACGAATGGGCCGGCTCGGCCGCAGTGATACCACGGCCTCACAAAAGACCGACGTGAAACGACACTTGCGTTGTGTTTCATCGCGTGAGTGAGGTTACTGGAGGCCCAATCATCCCGCCCCCCTTTCCCAATCCCTGAGTCCCCAACAATCCTCAAATTCAAACTTCCTCAAAAACAATCCCAAAAGGCCAGTAACGCACTTGTAACCACTTGAACCACAGAGCCACGTCAGTAACCCGCGATTTTTAGTTAATTTAGTATGTCTCACAATAGTTATTATAAAAACTTTCACGGTACTCTAACAAAAAAAAACCTTTTTTCGAAACAAGAATCTTTAGAATTGATTTTTGAAGTCAATAAGCAATAAGTACTTATAATAAAAGTAGCCCTAAGCATATTGAATATCTTTACAAATAAACAATTTCTTCATAAACCAAAATTGCAATATGTAAATACGATAAAAATCTATTTAATTAATTTACTTACTATAAGATAGTATACAATACATTTTGTAAGAGAACGAAGCTTCAGTTACGTAAGTAACAGTTAATAAGTGTTGAAAATAAAACTACCGAGGTCAACGAACCTTCGAGTGGGCGCGAAAATAAAAACTTCAACATTACATCGTACAGCGGTTTTGTACTAAAAAAATACCTTTGCGGGGAAAGGAATTTAGATCAATAACAATATTATACTTAGGCTTCATTGGCCGAGTGGTCTCAACTGCGTCTGCCGGGCAAGGGGCTCGGGTTCGATTCCCGGGTCGAGTAAAGTATAACCGGTTTTTTTTTAATCTCAGTAGTAGCACGGAACCTCGAAAAGTGCCCGGTATATGGCAATAGGCTCACCCCCAATTACATGGGACTCATAAATAGTGAAAAGTGGGTGTCCCATCGTACAGTGCCGTAATGTGCACCTCTGCCTACCCCTTCGGGGTTAAAAGGCGTGATGTTATGTTATCTTACTTAGGTGTCAATTTGGAAGTTCGCGCTACTATTGTGAATTTACAATTACAAGTAAATGTATTTTGCTCAACATTTCACGCTGGTGTTTGGTATCTAAAAGGTTTACTATTACACTATTAAAGTCACATAATTCTTTTATAACTACATTTAAATAACTGTCTTCAACCCCTCTCTTTTTGAAGTCGGCTAATTAATATATTAAAACCTATATGTAACAAAAACACTTTTACCTTAATTTAACTTAACTTTTCTAAAAACCCCATCAAAATCAGTTCACTCAATCTCGAGATAATCGACTACAAATATCTGAGCCTCCTTTTTTGAGTTTGGTTAAAAATTAGCGAAAATAGTTAAACATTAATACAGCTAATATAGTAAACCTTTCGAATCATAAAAGAAATTAAACTACTACAGCTCCCAATAACAATATATTTCTTGACGATGATCTCGACTAGTTTCAAGCCATGCTAGAGGCTCATGTTATGTCCTCCTTCAAGACTCTAGCATGGCTTGAAACTAGTCAAGTTACTCGTCAAATAATAACGTCAGTAAGTCGAAAAATATAATAATAAAAGTATATCTAAAGAAAGTTATAACAATAATACATACCCTTAAAAAACTGTTAACTTAAAACACATTTTTTCCCCACTACGGTTTCTTAAACTTATAAAATTGCAGTTTATTTTCCCCACTAGGTCAGTAGGTCTTAGATAGCCATCTGTAGCAACAATGTTACATTTTATAAGTATTTTAGAAATAAGGTTTTATAAACGTAAAAAACATTCACTTTCAAGTTAGATATTTCAGATAACCTGAATCGGGTAATTTAATGAAATAGTACCAGAATTACCTCATATAATGGTATTACTTCGATTTACTTAAATTACTTAAAATATACGAAACAAGTAATAATGGTTTGATTCGGGTTTTTTCAATGCAGTTTAAAATGTGCAAGATATCGTAAGTTTAAGTGTGGTAGAGCCATGCTTTGGTACGATTGGGTCGATTCGACCGGAGTGATACTATGGCCTCACAGAAAACTGACGTGAAACAACGTGTTTCGTCGTATGAGTGAGGCTACCAGAGACCCAATTCCCCCAATCCCTGAATTCACAACAATTCTGAAATTCCTAATCCCTAAAAGACCGGTGAAAACTTACCATCAGGTGATCTGTCTGCTCGTTTATCGGCTTATCCCATAAAAAGGTAAATGTGAGAAAAAACAAAAAGAAAACTCAGTATACGCCAGCCAGACAGCTGGTTTACGATTTCCTCCTTTTACGGAGACTTTCACACTTCTCACATTCCCGTTTAGATCATTTTTATAAAGTTCCACATTTTGTAAATGTGTTCCCGAGAAGCAGCGAAATCGTTGCCGCTATCGGTCAGCGAGTGAAAATGATGTTAAGCTCGTGTTTCACTTACGCGCGAACGGTCTAACACTCGGTTGTTATGTCCTATTCTACAAGCGCGTTTCCAATTTTTAATAGGTAGCATATTTTCATAATATGCTTAGTGACTTAATAAATCAACAATAATATAGGCACGTCCTAACAATTCTAAATAATTAATGTCGTTTCTCAAATCATAATCATGAATGTTAAAGAATCAGTTGTTACAATAATTTTTATTATTTATTGCACTCATTTATCAATAAAAAAAGAAATATATCTATATAATATAAATTTTATCATAATATAAGCCTCAATTCTCCATGTCATAAAAATCCAACTAACTTTTCCATCAAAGCAAAAAACCACAGAGACGCGCCACGGTGCGATTTTCTTGGGAAACGCCGGCCGTAACTAACATGGATACCATCGCCGCAAACAACTTGGAGCTTTACCTGCAAAGTTTCTAACCTAGGAGCGATGTTCAGTTTCTAGATTGGCGCCTGCTCTAGAATGTTAATGTTCACGTTTGCGCCAATCTACACGTAATGGCTGTGACCATATGCGACCGAGTTGCCTCCTTTACAATCTATTACTTCGTAGGGTCAACAAACTAGACTTAATCTACAAAGAGACTAGAGGCCATTTTCATCAACCTCTCCTAAATAAAGAACCCTAAGCTAAGATAGGTACCATTTAATAACATTTTGGTTCTCACAAACCTATATTTAACATCTTACAATATAAGTAAGAGGTTAATTTAGGAGCTACAATGCCCTTAGTAACATTAAGTTAAGAGATGGTTTAGGGGTCATTGGTGGAAACGGCCCATGGTTACCATCGTTATATCGGCACTCAAAAAGAATTGCGGGAAATATAAATTGCACCAAGTATACGCAATTAAAGTATATAGGACGGAACTTTAAGCAGCGTGACAAAACGGAATCAGATTCATGGCTAAACTAATTGGTTAGCCAATAAGCTAACAGTACGTGATTAAAAACAATGGACGACGAAATGTTGGGTAAACTAAACGTCGCGCGGTGTCAACTGTCATTCGTGACACTGTCTGAAGAGGTAATATGGCGGAATTGTTGCAATACTTCCTTATAAAAATACTAAGTTCTGCTCGCGACTTCGTATGCGAAATCCCGTTTTTTCCTGTTCCCGATCGTGATTTTCGGTAAAAAAAAATGTTATGTCCGTCTCCTGGTTCTAAGCTACCTCTCCACCTATTTTCATCCAAGTCGATTTAGCCGTTCTAGAGTTATAATTAATGTAACTAACACGACGTTTTTTTACATATATATGTAGATTTAATTTACTGTGTTTCCTCTTCTAAATTGTCTTATTACATGATCATCATAATCAAAGCTAGATTCTCTAGTATAAAAAAACCAAATAGATTGATTATTAATCTCAGCTTGTTCCTATGTTTCTCGTAAGTTCAAACAACAATGTCTCAACAATTTACATAGCCCAAACTGATTAGGCCAAATTACCTATAACAACTGACTTTCTCGCTCCGAGCTCATAGCGTGATGACTCTATTTTGACAGCTTACTTGTACCACTTATACCTGACTGTGGCGACACTAAACGCAATTGTAAACAATACTC